TTCAACTCTCTGTCCGCAATATATGGTCTCGGCCTATTCACTGTGCTTGGCTATATACATCTATATTATTAACACGACATTTTTTTAAACCTTAGTGAGTCTCCAATTAAATGAGCATGATTATTTCAGAGATGTTTCACGGTCATTACATGTGATAATTTTTGATAACCGTGACAATTACATATATACACGTTCTACGGCATGGGTGATATCGATTAAGAAAACAACACAAATTAGCATACACCAAAACGACAGACACAAATTTAAATACAAGAGCCGCAGCAAATGATTAAATACATTGTAAAATACATATATACATTCTTATAATAAAACAACTACCACGGAGATACATAAAACAATTAGGAAAAACAAATAGAACCGTATGTTATGTATTACTGTGTTAAGTTTTGATAATGTTTTTGTTTCAGACATATTTTTAAATCGTCGTTTTATTGTTTTGGCATGCATTGTTCGTATATCGTCAATACCATATATTTGAGACACTACGCTCAATTCCAAAACTCAACAGAATATTTATCAAAGTGTTAAATAAAACACAATGAAACACAAGTATGTCATTCCTTAGAACGGGGGAGGGGGTAAATACAAATTCTTATTGTAAAACCTGTAAATAGCCATCATAAAACGACCATCAATCATCGCCGAGATCTCGTTAATAGCAGCATTGCGTCCTTTGTGTTCACTGTTCTCAATACCGGAGTTACCATGGTCACGATTACAGTAGACGCAATAAACTCCGAGATTTATACACCTTTAGTGTGGCGAGGGAAAACGCGTGTCACTTGGCAATCTCGCTTTCAGTCGGATATAAGCCGCCATTTGCAAATCAAGTTCATTCTTATGATGTATTTTCCTTGTAGATATGGGTTCCATCGTTTTAGGAGGCCTGACTACTTTGCTCGTGGTTTTATTATTAATTTGCATCTCATTAGCTGTGTTCTACATATACTTAAGAAGGTAAAATGGTAGTTTACTTTCTATGAACTTGTATAGTTCTTTGTGTGTACTCCACTATGCCACTCTATGATGCAATGGGCACTTAATCATCACAAAATCTTCATTTCAATGAATTAACAAGTTTATATTTTCAATTCAGGAAGAAGAAAACGTGGAGACAAGTTATCCCAAAATATAAAGGTATAATTCTTTCTGTATTTCTGTACAAAATCACCAAACCAAATTTGAAGAGATCACATGTCACATGTCACAAAACAAATCTTACTCTAAATAAATAATATTTGTAATATTTTACCTCCAACCATGCAAATGTGGATTAAATCAAATCTGAAAATAGTTGATTATTATCGCTGGCAAGCAATCCATTTTTTTCAATAAATAGCGCCATCATGTGACGAGGCTGGAAGAAATAATAATTTTTTGGATGCAAATATTACAAAAAAAATGTCTTTCTTCAAAATGACTGACACTATGAATAATACTGATTTCACCATACTAAGGTCACAAACCTGCCCTGCAATCACAGGGCGTGTATTGTTTTCACAAGTGTCTAGAGTAATATATTAGAGTTCAATACAATTAGGTTTCGCTAGGCACGATGACTCTAGCAGGAATGGTGATGCCGATAATATATTGATGACGACAAAATTGATAGACACTTCTCCAGTTCATGACACTACGATACCAAGTGATGCCTTGCCTCCAGCAAAGACTAAACATCAGCCAATCAACGTGGCAGATCTAGCAGACTACATAAAAAGAAAAAATGACGCTGGCGAAGGTTTTAACTTGAAAGCTGAATATGAGGTACAGACATATTTCTTTACAGAGGGTAGAAACAGCCACAAATAATCTGCAAGTTACAGTTGACTACTATTAGGCACATTTCGCCTGTACCTGTGGCAAAAATAACGTGTTTGCTAAGTTGAGAATTGGGTCCTTTGTGCGACCGGCTGGTGACAAATACCCACGGCATGCCCCAAATGTATTCAGGCAAGTAGTCGCATTCACACGCGTCTCAATACCCACTGCATGTCCCGAATGTATTAAGGAAGACAGTCTTGTCTACATTCGACTGGGATAGTACAGTCATTTAATCTATATAGCTTAGGCGTTTAGATTTAATATATCAGAACTATGGTGGTGTATTCTCTTCTCTTTTTCGTGTTTTTTTACAAATTAGGAACTCAAATACGGTCAGCTTGGAAAATGGGAAGTAGGTGTGAATGCCGCAAATATATCAAAGAATAAATTCACCGACGTTGTGGCGTGTAAGTATATATTTGTAACCATTACCATCAAGTATTGACGTTGTTGCTCAGAATTTAAATTTATCTACATGTGCACATTAAAGACGTGATATGCCATATTTCAAACAATTATGCATCTAGTAGTGAGATTATACACGACCAGCTATCGGGGGCAGTTGATACATAGCTGGGTAGGAAGGGGCCCCTGAGTGCTCAAAAGTGTGACCATTTTTATACCATGGATAGTGTCAAAATCTATACCCATATTTATACCAAAGTGCCATTTCTGTCATCACTGTTTATTCCAAATAAAACAGTTACCGTATTTGCTCTTTATTTCACTGAAGAATTTGCGCCCTCTTCTATTACGTGTCAAATCTCAGTTTAAATGTTGATTGCCTTGTTTAATTTATGGGTTTATGTATATATGGATCTGAGGCCGGGATCTGAGGTGGAGATATTCGCTCATATACGGACCCATAAGTATACCAAATCGAAAAAATATTACTAGCTACGGGACTAGCTACGAACTTGAATGCACAATATGGCGAATCTGATGACGTACTAAGACACTCAAGTTGATTACAGTTTAACTAATGCTACCATTCCTCACAATCACGACTATCCCGATTTCTCTACATAAAGAACAATTCCCCATATTTAGTCACCAAAACCATGTTCAAAATCGTGTGACGTCACTGACTATCAGAATGATACGTCAATTATACCGATTGTGTTAATGGTTTGGTTTACGAACTGGTAACAGTGGTAAAATAATTACATTTGTTTTTCATAGACGATCACTCCCGTGTTGTGCTTGCCACCATTGATGGCGATGTTAACTCGGACTACATAAATGCATCTTATATTAATGTAAGTTTTTTTTTCAAATCTTTTCCGGCATCTCAAAGTAATTATCTCAAACATTTCAAAGCAAATAAAACAAAGATAAATGTTCATAACTCCATAATTTTATTTTGTTGATTTTCAGGGTTATAGAAATGTAAAATACATCGCCACACAAGGTGGGTAACAACATAACAAATTCCATTGCCTTCTCAGGACCAATTTGTTCTAGCAAACTATACCATTTTGTAATTATGTAAATTAGCATTAGTTTGAAGCTATATATAGATCAATTCAATTGCCAACCCAATCTTTGAATTTCATGGTTTTTATGGTAGTTTAATTCGACATTGCCAACTTGTTTTTATGCTTATTTGCATTTTGTACATTTATAAGATGGAGTGAAATGATAATATCTTCAATATAGTACAATGCTTTTTTAGAAATACCTTCTGTGTTTTGTTGACATTAATTTTTAAGATGACGTATAAGTAAACTCTATGTATTGTTCGAATACAAAACATTTCACCGTAGTATATCTGCTGAACAGTGATATGCGATAGTAATGACTATCCTCTCTTCAGGTACCATGAGTAAAACAGAAGCAGACTTCTGGAGAATGGTTTGGCAGGAAAATACGAGAACAATACTGATGGCAACGAATCTCATTGAACAAGGACGAGTAAGAAAGTACCTTAATATAAAAAAATAAATAAATAAATAAATAAATAAATAAATAAATAAATAAATAAATAAATAAATAAATAAATAAATAAATAAATAAATAAATAAATAAATAAATAAATAAATAAATAAATAAATCAATCAATAAATTAATTAATTAATTAATACATTAATTAATTAATTTAATCTTAGTAATAAGTTTACATATGTTGATCAAATCCCTAACTCAAATATTTCTATTATTTTGCATCACGTCATTGGGACCATTTTGACCACGCAACAATGAACAGAGAACAATAAAGCCATTATTCGCAGTAGTTACGAACTCAGAACCACATAGTGGCCATTCCGCTATAAATATTAAAAGTGTGAGCCACACAGTAATTGGTCTTTAAAAACAAGTCATAGGACTACTTTGCTCAGACAGCTGTTTATATACGTCATTGAAATACATCAGTAACCATTATTTTCTTACTATTCTTATTGACACTTCGTAATAGAAATGAATAATCTACATTGCGTTTTGACAAATACATCATGGCTGCAATCCTCATATAGTGTTACTTTGCATATATATATATATATATATATACATATATATTGTATTTGTATTGACAGAAAAAGTGTACGCAATATTGGCCCGACTTACACAAAAGTCTATCGCGGGGAGTGTATATTGTGAAAAACATCCACGAAGAACGTTTTGCTGATTCGGTTATTAGAACCTTTCACATTTCCGAGGTAAATATGCACAGTTATACATAATATCAATGGTTTATAAGATGGGGCATTGATATGCGAAACAATGCCAGATAACAAAACAAAATAAACGAGTTTGTAAATATCTTATTTATTTTTTGTCCAAGCTGTTATGATCGCTCTGTTTAGTTGCAAAGTGTGTTACATGTGCGTTTTGCGTTTTTGAATACATGACATCTTAATACTAAGAGTCAAACCCATAAGACATCCTTAATTGGACATTTTATTTGTGTGTTTTCATTTGTTTTACACTCTTGTTTATATTTAGTATTGAGTTGACTTCTCGTCGATATAACCTAAAACTTCAGTGTATCACACACACTTACTGAAAACCTGTTGTAATTCCTGCTAGATATTAAATATACATGAAATAAATACTATTTAATATTAGTACATATTATACAGTGCTTTTAATAATAAATTATAAAAATATACTGGCTCAGAGGAACCAAATTGATTATCTTGAACTAATAGACTTTTGTCACAGTGTAAGGTCTGCTTTCTCATCCTCCTCTTTCCCTTTCTTCTCGTGCTCTCTCTCTCGCTTGAAAAGATGTAATTCACGTTCCAGTAGTATTAAATACAGCAATTTAATGACTACCTAACAGTACAAGCTGGTCTGACAACACCGTGTTCTCTAGATCTGAGCAGTTACGAAATAGTCAATTTAGTCATGAGATTACTGACAATAAGATCTAAATCAGACTCAAAATCTGAATCACAATTACAATCCCACTTCTGACACCAAAATTATAAGAATGTTTGCAAATGTGTGAATGTAAGATCCAGCGTTCAACAGCTGCTTCTTTTATGCTTTCAGATTTAATAATGCAAGGTCAGCTATTATGCTAATGAGGTAATGTAAGCATGCTCATTAAAGTTTACACGTGTTTTTGTGCATATACGTTCATTCTTTCTTGTTCAAACATTACAGATAGATAGACCACGTGATGTAAGAGAAGTCAAACAGTTCCACTTTACCGTATGGCCTGACATGGGGGTGCCAAATTACACATCAGATGTGTTGTCGTTCTTACGTAGAGTGAAAACTAGTAATCCCACTAATGCTGGGCTTATGGTGGTTCATTGTAGGTAAGAGTTACTGTTAGTATGTGACGCCTTTGATGCAAACATGAACTCATGAAACCATCGATAAAAACCCGGTGGCTATCCGTTGTGGTCAAGTACTATTAGAGCAGAAGTAACACCCACATCATAGACACAATTAAGTGTGCTTAACTGATTTATGAATTATATTTGTAGTGCTGGCATTGGTAGGACTGGTACTTTTATAACCATAGACTCTATGCTAGAAATGGCCAAAGAAGAAGACCAAGTCGATATTTTTAACTTTGTTGCAAAAGGTAGAGAAGACAGAATAAACTTTGTTCAAACCTCGGTAAGATAATATTGAAAGTTTAAATTTCGAAGTTTTTCCCTTATGTCAGTGTTTATGACAAATTGTTTGTGACATTTTTTATTTTAATTAAATAACTAAATAAGTGATAAAGCACTATAGTTGGTTAATTTAAACGAACTGGGAAAACATAATAACTAAAACTGAGTGTAGTTGCGAGACATAATATCGGGAAATTGGTTCATGTGCATCATTCTTGGCTATTTATAAAAAATAAATCGGGCTGTAATAGGGTATGTTGTCAATTACATAATTACGAAGTAATGTATTTCCACTATCCTGGTATTCCAGGACCAGTATGCCTTCATATACAACGCGGTATTGGAGGCCACCCTGTGTGGGAGCACGGAGATACCATGCAAAGACCTGAGAATAACCCTGGAACAATTAAAGAGAAGGAGTGCAAACGGAATAAAAACAGGTCTACAACTTGAATTTGAGGTAAGTAAATGACTATCGATTTTTTTTTAATTGCATTACGGATATACACTGCGAATACTTTATTTTAAGTGGTTTATGTTACTAACCATCAAGGGATCATAGACTGTAACTTACTTGTACCACATATGTCACGAATTAGGAAGTGGCCACTCGATTTGCCGCGTAGCTAAGTTTATAATCAACTTGCATGCTAGATAATGAGGTCGATACTGCTCATATATTATTAAAGAAGTATATAGTAGCAAACATTTAACCGTGCTGTCAATGGTCAATTTGAGATACAAATTGCTATAATTCTAAGCTCACTGCAAAGTCACTTAAGCGATTACATGCAATACCATAAATCGATACCATTTAAAACGCATGTAAATGACTAGTACACGCGATTGATCATAATTAACTACTAAACATATGATCAGGAGATCATTACCGATGTTTTTTTGTTTGTTTTTTATAAATTGCTTTAACTATCAAAATCAACTGAGAATAATAGTCGTTTCAGTAATTTGTCAAAAAAGGTCTTTCGGATTTTGTTGTAACCAAATAGATCAATTATGAGTTGTTGTGACACAAGTGGCATTGTGTACAATATATCTAACAATTAACCGCCTTGTTACCCCCCTCCTACTTAAAACATCTTACAAATATTAAATAACACCAAGTGATCGAACGAGCTTTATTGGTTAATTGAAAATGTCACGTGCACTTGAATCCCCCCAAAAATCGTCTGTTACATGAAGTTGAAACGAGTTCAACAAATTCTAATAGTGAGCGTTGGCAGCATTGACTTCCAAACTGTTACATGGAAAATCCAGGTTATGACGAGAATGCTGAAAAGTATGCACGAATGTAGTACAGTGATCCTATCGACTGACGCGTGGCGAGGTTTATGCGTTACTGTATATTTAAACTTTCTGTCTGCTATAGAATTTAATGATAGCACGTCCACGACTGACATAAATGTGACGCAAATAAGGAAGACATTTGAATGAGTCCGTATAACTTTCGAACACGTCTATTCGTTGTTAGATGTATAAAATGCTGTGTACCGGCTTAAAAGAGTTGTACATTAATTCAAAGCATAATCTAATGTTTTTTTCACAGAATCTTGATAAGTTGTGTCCAACCCCACATAGTGATGAATATAAGTCTGCGAACGAGCCAAACAATGCACATAAGAACCGATATCCTGACATTTTGCCACGTAAGTACACTCTGTCATTTTCAACCGGGAATTATGGAATGTCGGATAAGACCAATCTTCATGGACATCTAATAATTATGTAAAATGGAACGAGCACGAGAATGCAATATTTATTTATAAAAATATACTTTGTCCATGGTGAGCAGACAATGTGCAGTGAGCCGGCTCTGCGTCCACATTTAAGTAATTCAATAAAAAATCACAGAGGTATGTATTGTCGATTTAGGTACAGTTGAAACATGGCCTATAAGTTATTTTCTTCATACAAGTGCGAGTATATCGCAAGTGAAGTAGAGAATGTCTTGCGTGTTTTTTATATAGAAGGATTAAACTAAATCGCCAGCTTCTAAATTGATTATACAGCTTTAAATAGTATGAGGTTATTACGAGATACCGCAAAATATGCACGAGGACAGTACATATTATACATTTTTCCTCTCAATGATACATCATAGGAATGCTAAAATCCAAATAGCTCAGAACAGATTTAATGACAATTATGTAAGAACCAATAATTATTCGTGTGGTTTAATTACAGTTGATAGTAACAGACCATACTTGATGACACCTGCCAAGAAAGGCGACTACGCGAACTACATCAACGCAAGTTTTCTTTCAGTGAGTAAAGATATCGCTCCTTTGTTTTTACCAAAGTGTAGAGGTACATTGTAGGACCTATGATCTAATGCTCTAAATATTTTACAAATAGCTGAAAAATTGACCCGTGTTGAAAATACATAATTACCAGACAGTGGATTGCAAATTACCACGTTTCTTGGTTGATCTGGGGTCGATGGTATTGCGCTTTATGCTTTAAACAATATGCCACCGATTCCAGACTATGTTAAAACGGAAACAAATATTGTAAACATAGATCCTTGTATTAAAGCAAAATAATCCTGTACAACTAGAATCATTGACGATTACATATAAATCATATTTATCTCTAGTCTTATGCACATAAAGATGCATTCATTGCGACTCAGATGCCATTACCCGATACTGTGGGGGATTTCTGGAGAATGGTGTACGACTGGAAATCTCTGACAATTGTTATGTTGAACGATATGACGGAAGATATGGTAGGCATTGTCAAATTGATTTCTCAATAGTTGCATCGACAATAATACATCATTAATAGGTTATAGGTTGAGTAAACTATACTAATCATTGACATCGTGACAATTTACTTACATTCTTTCATAAACTACAGGTCGAGACATTATAATGTATATCGCGTCACAATCCACAGTATGCGATGCATCTATATATTTGACAGCACTGTAGTATTTTAACAATAAACAGTGAGGCGAGTATATACGAATGTAATGTTCGCCTTACTTTTGCCCCTTCAGCAAGACGGACAATACTGGCCAGACGACGGACACATTCAGTACGGTCCATTACGTGTGGAAGTGTTGTCCGAGCAACAACATGGCGATGTTATCGAAAGGAAGATAAGTTTGCAACACGTGGACAAAATGGTATGATGCTCTTATTATACTATAGGCATGTACATAATAGAACAATGACAAGACGCGAAGATTGGAACTGTCACTACAAAAACAAATATGAAAAGCCAATTATATTAGAAATTCAATATTATCTAAATTTCAGAAACGAATAATTTAATATTTTTTAGCACAGCCTGCATTCATATAGATACTT